TACCAATACCGTAATTATTCTGAAGGGGGGTTCATTTATAGTGGTCACTTCACGGATAGAAGGATGGCTCGCTGTCCATTATCCACCTGGCTGAACGCTGCAAACAATGAATTAGCACCCTAGCAAGAAGGAATGTGTCAGGGCTTCAAAGTACAGTCGAACTCGGTTATAACGTCATCGAAGGGACCAAGTAAAACCCGTCGTTATAACCGAGGTTGTCTTTATTGGCACTCCGTTTTCCTGTTTTCAACATTGATGCTATATAACGTTACGACTCCAGTTTACATTGGTCATACTGCACTAGCTTCAGTTTCAAGATTGATCCACTAATCGCACTCCTTTGGATCTTACTACTACTTTATAATTTATCAAGGCTTCATCGATGTCATCTCGACAGACCTAGGAAGTTTCTTGTTTTGTGACATGTTCTCGTAAGCACGGATGAAGCTGTCACGATTTTCCCAAATTGTCGAAACAGATGAACAGGTGTCCATGTTCGCGAGCGACGTTAGCTTCACTTAGAGCTCTTTCTATTAAACTAATCAAGCACACATTCCTTTCAATCGTGAAGGCTGGCCTCTTTCCTTTTCCATTGGTCATGTTGTCAACGAGAAATGCAAATGGCGACTGAAGATAAGGTGATCTTAGTTACTGGGGATTATCCCTTCCTAACGTTGCTCCAGCCACACACACATGACTCTCAAGGAATGTCGAATCCAGGAAATATAAAGTTATGGCTCGTCAACGCTAATTTTTCCGATGACGGAAAATTTCAGTTAAGAATGACGGATTAAGGACATGAACGTTGTCGATTTCGTCTGTGGGACTTTCAATGGACTTCGTTATAACCGAGGTAAAATGTAACATACCTTATGGCCTCTACGCCGGGACCTGGCACTTTCGTCGTTACAACCGAGGTCGTTATGACCGAGTTCGACTGTATGAGTGAAACCGAAGTAAATCAGGGCCAGACGGCCGCGGGGCGAAGGAACTGTCTGGGCGGATCTGTCCTGTCTGTCTCTACCGCATTTTTTTCACCCACTCCACTCTATCTCTCCCATAGAATGTATAAAGATGTCTCTGGAGAAGCCTTCGCTGTCTCGAGAATTACAAGTGCTTCCGCCACCTTGGTGAAGTCTCGCAAGTGAGAATGAATAGCGTGATCGGTTGGGTCACGTCGTGGATGCCCCCAGCCATATAGCTCGGGGAAAGTTGCCTCTTTTGCCCTCCCCCTCTCCATGTGTCTGCTATGAACTCCTTGCTCGTGCGACTTCAGGAAGATGACGGCCGCGCCTGGAAGGGTGCAGCGCCTCGCGCCATAGGGAAGCCCCATCCATTATACACTCTATGATCTCTCCTTTTCCACTGGTCTTTGGACATGGATTCAATACGCCTTCAGTGTAGATGAAAAAGGCAGTCTCCTATGCGACGTGAGTTGCTTTTATTACAATGGTCCTCTTTTTTTGGGGGAACAGATACGTCTATTCGACATGAAACTTGAGTGGAAACGTGGATGGGAAGGGTGATGCTGTCGTGGCCTCGACGCTCGTGGCGGAGGCTTCAACTTCCGCGGTGCCTGCCTACGTACTATGTCCTTAATTGTTTCCATTTCGTTGCGATTGCTTATTCTGTGCTGAATAAGGCGAAATCCTTGGGAACCTTTGTCCAGTTTAGGGCTACGTTCCCTCGGTAGAGACGTCAAGAATACGTAGACCGGCATGGCTCCTTCGGGAACAAATAATTTTCGTAGTGGGTAGGCCTCGACCTATCAATAGGCGCTAAGGCGCCTTTACATTTCTTCACCCCCTACCCGCAACAAAATTAAACCTCCTCGTACTCTTCTCTGAGAGCATCCAGAGTCACGAACTTGGGCATGCTTCTTCCTCTCTCAACACAATTGCTAAAGGAAATTTGAAGCTCCATCTCCACGGCGGGGTTATGAATAACGCTGAGACTCGCTTTTTAAGGATGTCAATTTCATTCCTTTATTATATTTTATTTTTCTCCCCCCCCCCCCTGGGTATCCACTCTTGGAGGGTTTTCGGAGGAAAGAGACCTACTAACAGGAAGGTATTGACTTGTAGATGACGGAAATCACCCTTTTTGGGGGTTTGCGATGCGTCATTTCGCCCTAAAAAGGTAAATAGCCGCCGTTTATTTAGGCTCAGCGTGCTGGCTCCAGTCCCGTAACCCAATGTTACCGGTTATCGTACCGGAGTTACGTCATATTCATAACAGCTTTTACCTTCGTATCGGTATCTGAATCTTGTTTTTTTATGCATGAGACATTTTGGTGTTGCGTTCATAAGCTGAGCTAAGATTGACACAGTAATTAGCAGCGATTGATCGATGTGATGTGATGTAGAGATATTTCATCCAGGCATCCCTGAATTAACAGGATGGCGCGTACCATGGATTGCATGCTTCTTGAAGACATTCTCTCCTCGGGCCTATTCGAGATGGTTCGAGGAATTCCAGATAGGCCTAACGTTCCACGTTCGTACTGAAATGGCTCATGAAAGTCGAAACGGGCTTCTAATCGGACAAACGTTGCACGTCCACAAGGAGATGACTCGAAGACCAAGAATTCACCATTACATGCCTAATTGTCTCCGTAAGTCGAGAATTGAGTTTCTTTTAAAATAAAAAGGTGGGTCTTGGCGTGACATGAAGGCAGTCCGTCGTTTAGGTCTAGTCTTAAAGTTTGTCAGTCTCGGGGGGAAGGGGGTGAAGAGGGGTTTGAAGAGTGGGAAAGCCGTTCAAGAATGGTTTTCCCATTACTCCATTGTCCCTTTCTCAATGTAATGTCTCAGGAAAATTAGCTATGTTGTTTTCCTCAAAAGTTTCCTTTGGAATGTAAAGTTTCCATGCTTTACTCCTGATTTTCCGGTTAGTGAAGATTTATATTTTAGATTTATTAATTTATGGAATTTTTCGGAAATTTAAAACTCATCTGTCATTCATGTTTGCAACACCGATTTTACCAATTGTCAACTTGGATGTCAGAAAGAGATGATGTGGAAACATTTATTTTAAAGCCCTCTCTGTAATTTAAAATGATCCCTCTGTAATCTTTGTGCAAGATAAGAGTTTACGCAAATAACAGTCACCCAATATTAATTAGGAGTTGACATTGTTGATGGGTTGTTGGTGCTGACGATTCGATGCATAATCAACATTGACTCGATGTTGAGGATGCCAAAATTGCCAGGGCGTGAAATTGGCATTGAACTTCGTTGAATGCTCGATGTCCTCTCGATGTCACATGGACAGTCATAGGGCGAGACATCTCGCAATTATTCGAAGAAATATCGTTGCCATACCCCTAAACGAGACGGCGACAAATCGACAACACTGCCAATTACCTCATATAAGCAACTGGACTCTTAAGTAATCAAACGAGATGAATGGTAATACATAGCCCGAGAAGGGAGATAAGGAAGTTTCGATGGTGATCTGATTCCATGAGACTCCATCCACTCAGTGTCGAGAGATACAATCCAAACCTAGTCCCGAGTGTGGGCGGAAAGATCCATTGCGCGATTTGCAGTCACCGAAAAGGTGGCTGCAAATTACTGTATTTTCCTTTGGTCTCCTTGGCCCCTCTCCAATCGCTGCGTGGAATAAATATCTGGTTCAGGAAGGGCATCTCTAATATCGACATTGGAGATTAGTGGGCACTAAGATCACACTGACGTCACAGTCACATGATATTTGAGCACTCAACTTGCGCGGAACGTGATATCAGCATGAAAGCAATGTTGAGACATGCCTCAATCCAACTTTGAGTCAATGAAGATTCAACGTTCCAGTATTGAGTTAATCAATGCTATTCAATAATGGTGTCAAGACGGAAATAAAAACATTTTCAACATTGAGGCAATATTGTAGTGTAAACTGGAAAGTTCTGGTGACCGGCCGCTCGCAAGCTTCTGCATTGAGAAACGAGTCACCACTGACGTCTTGAGGGTCTTATCTAACAGAGAGGTCTCGTATTGCGGCGATAAGCGACGATCTCCCTCTGCTTCTCCGCCTGTCCTTCCCATCTCTTTCCAGTGACTATTTCGGCGCGTGCTTCAAGAAATATTTAATTGGTGTGCATATTCAACTCCTTCACGATGTGCCACTACTGTTCCGATCTTCTACAGTTGTTCTGTTCGCGTTTCTCGAGGAGTTTCCAATCGGGTTAGAATGAGATTTTCCGTAGCGGAAGGGGGAGGAGTTCCGAGACGATGCACGGTCGGGTGGTGTCCGATTTCATGTTTGCACACAAACGCGACTTTCAGCAATACGTTAACCTTAAGGATGTCCTGTTGTGTTTGAGACAGAAAAACGTCATCGAGAACGATGAATACCTCGAGAACATCAAGGGGACCCAAGAGAAGAAAATGTTATTTCTCCTCTGGAAAATCCCCATCGGAGGCGAAAGCGCGTTTAAAGCGTTACTGGAGTGCCTCAAGGAGAAATACAATAGTTTCGTCGAGACGTTGCTTAAGTCTCTGGAGAAAAAGGTTTTTGCAAAGACACTTCGAAATGATAAGTATTCAATTTTTTTCCCATTCTTCGCAACAATTTTCTTTTTGGAAGGCTTGCACGTGGGAGTTGATAGAGATTCCAAATCGACTTTCATTGGAATTCATCATTTTCTCCTCCCCGTCTATTATGTTGCATCATCATATTCACCACTGAATGACAAGAAAATACCAAGTCTAAGGGAATTAAAAACTACAAGGCAATTTGGTCCTTCTCGGCTCCGGTCTAATGCATTCCCTATGCCCTACCTCATTCTCCTCGTTAGGACGCGAATTCATTCTAACAACGTACGGTAGGATGGGAAACACATAATGAAGCCGTTTTTCTATTAACGAAGAGACGATTATAAGTAAATTATCTTTTTCAGAACAATCACGATCAATAGTCAAAATAATCAGAATATGAATAAAGTTATTTGTATTGGCATTATTCGCCGTATGCCTCAAATATTTGAGTGAGGGAAGAGGATGAAAAGTGAATTCCCATGACTGTCCAGATGCAGGATGGAAGAAATGATGAGATTGGACAAAGGAGAAAAATTAGCATGGAGACAGTGGGCGCATTCAGTTGCGACCAGAGCTTGGTTGCAAAACCAAGGAGTCCAAGCTTGGAGTCCAAGTTCCAGTTGATGCTGACGTTTGCCGATGGTCATCGCCCGCTCGCTTTGGATGTTGCAACTGCACAACAATTTCCACATTCAATGTCATACAAGTTCAATAATGATTTCATTCATGTGAAACAACCAGGAGAAGACGATCAAGATTTTTTTTAATTTTTATGGGAGATGAGCATGAAGAACTTAAAGACCTTTTTCAAGAATTTCCTTTCGGCCAATCCGATTAGTTTTCAGATGACGAGAGATATGTTTAGAGAAAGATTCAACTTGGAAGCCATTATCAATGAACTTCAATCTAAAATAATTGTAGGTAAATCTTGTCTCCTGGACTACTCATGACTATCGTTCTTCCTTCTCTGAGTCAAGGGCTTGAAAAATGATATTCCTATTATATGGCACTATACCATCCTGTTCGCCTAAATTTATCGGCCTAATTTCTCATTTTCTCCTTTTGTCATTAATGCAGAAGATTATTGCTCTTTTTTGAAGGTTTGACAAAACTGAAGGAGCTGAGAAAAGAAAAAGAGACTTTAGAGAAATGCGAAGTCCAAGTAAACGAGAAGAAGGACTTCAAATACATGGTTAAAGAGAAGCGCATGCGGAAAATTGAATTCGAATTAGGTGTTTACAAACTCTTCTGCCACGTCTGCTCTTGTTCGTGCCAGTTTCCTTGCAAGGCTGCTCGGACCGAAGAGAAGTTCCGCTGTCATTCCATGAAGAAAGGCTCGTGCATGATATGCCTCAATAAGTGCTCAGTGTCTCAGCATATCCTGAAACCGTACCGATTCGGGCTCCAGGAAGTGGAAGTGGAGAAAACGAAAGAAGATGTGAAGAAACGCTACGAGGCCGGGATGAAAGGAAAAGCGACGGCCGAGAAAATCATGGAACAGTTCATACGAGAATTTCTCGAAACGGAGGTACGAGTTCATTCGAATTTCTTCTCGGCTCGTGCGTGTCTTCAGAAACTGGAGGAGATCGCTTTGAAACCCGACCCATTCCTCATCATCGAATGCATCGACCTACTCTTAGAGTCGGAGAATGGTAATAATGAACCAGGATACTTGGAGAGAGTAGAAATGCTGAAAAAAGAAAGGGAGCATGCGGAGTTGCTCCGCAACATTTGTGACGGCTTCGATCACTTTCGAGAGCTCCGGGATCACCACTTGCTTCCCAACAAGGGCGGCAGTCGACTTTTCGAATAAAAGTTTATCCACTTCTTCATTATTTTTTTTCAAAGTTCATCGAGTAGACAATGCCTCTATACCAACTTTAAGTTTCCTGGATGAATACAGGGAAAGGAAGTAACTCTTCTCCTGAAGTCCGGTGCGTCTTGACTCGGGTTGGAATGTTTGGGGGAACATGAACGCTCTATCACGATAATACTTTTTATCACGAAATATGAGATGGTCGGGCGCCATTTACATTAATCCTTAGAATCTCAAGATGCCGATATATCGGGTCTTCCTAATGGCATGCAATTCTACTTGGGAACCAAGGCCCGTATTCAACGTCGCTGCCCTAACCGTTAGGGTACCCCTAACTCAAGAATTTTAGGGATCCCCTAGATGTTCTGTATTCACGTTCGTCCCCTAGCTAAGGGATCCTTAAACCCATCTATAGTAGTAGAAAGTAGGGGAGTTTCTAGTTTTACCTCAAGAAGCTTGCGTGTTTAAAGCACTCTATCACCGGCCAGTTATTACCACGAGACTTACACTGAGCTTAGGCCGAAATGTTTTCAAGTGCTTTGTGGAATTTCATTTAAATGCTTCGGGGCGAGTCAAGGTTATTAGTCATTATTTCAAAGTTGTTAGATACCATTGCAATGGACCGGAGCACTTGCTGGTAGTTTAGCGGGCGAGACGCCGTCGTTCTGCTGTTTGCATGCCATGCATGTTACTCCAAACATTTAATGCATCAAAATTCAATCATTGGCTTGCCTTTTGCTGGATATCGTTTTGATAACGTTCTTTTAAAATAATAGCAGATCAACAGCTGTTAATACAGTGTTTGCATTAATGCCCATATTTACGTCACTCACCCAAAAACAGTATATCGTAACGGTTCGGGGACCCCTAGGTAAGGATTTCCCTAAAAAATAGTATTCACGTTGGTCTGTTAGGGGGTCCTTAGCTAGGGAATCCTTTAGGAAAATGGAGGAGATGGGGCATGCGCTGGAATGCTTTCATCTTGGTGGCCTCTTCGTCACACAGAAGGCAGAGGATCTCTGCTCATAAAGCGTTGCTTTTTTTCTCTTGAGTCTGACACTTTTTGATGACTATAATACCCAGTTATAACACTTTCCGTGAATTACTTCCAAGATGAATGAAAATCTGTCCAACCTGTCTGAAGAAAAAAAAGTACTTGATCTCATGAACTAAAAGTTTCATTGTTTCGTCTAAAAGATTTCATTGCAATGATTTTTTTCACATTAGCTTGAGTACCGGACTAGGCCGAAGTGGGTACTCAACGCTAATGCAAAAAATTATTTGCATTTGATGTTAAAAGTACCATTGTACATTGTACCTGCCATTAATGCTGCATCGATGATCATTGATGCAACGTGCATGACAGGAGTGTCAGTCAAATGATAAAATACTATAAATATAAGACCATGATCTATATCAGCAGTAGGGTAATTTGGGGGAATATGGCCCTACAAAATGAAACCTGGTCATCATGGCCCATCAAGGTTAAATTATACTTTTACAATGTTTCAAAAATATTGATTGATATCTCCTTTGCTAAATGCCAGCAAGGCGTATGCAAAAAACCCCATGGTTATGGCGCCTTTGGGTCTTTTTCGAGTAGGTCTCAAGAGGCCATATTAACCCTAGAGTTGGGGGAATATGACCACTTCTGAAAAAACAACTCCAGGTTGTCCAGGAACGTGTGAAATATGCTGGAACATGCTGATTACTTTGAAACATGATAAAGACTCTCAGCAGCTGGAAAGGAAGCACTAACTGCACCGAGGACAAACTAAGAAGTCGACATCATTACCTGACACGAGGAACCGTTGGAGAAAATAGGATTGCAACGTTTTTGCTTTTGAGTAACAATGCACGTTATTGGGAGACAATATCTAGATACTGTGTGTGTGTGTAAGAGGAGTGATCAAGCATAGATTAAAGTGACCATGCGCCGCGAGTGTAAAATAAGAGGTCTTACATTGCAGGAAAATTTTTGTTTTTGTTGTTTTTTGCATGCATGGATAAATAGTACCAAAAATCACAGAATGCCCTATTTGTACGTGGGATACTTAATTGCATTCGAGTTTCGTGCAACAAATTTTCTGGAGAATGTCAAGCGATGCAAAAGTAGGTGCATAAGCATACCCTCATGCACGGCCTCCTCATGTACTGCATATTTCATCCAGATGTCCAGTACGTCTATCCATATATCCAGAGGAAGTGCATTGGATGATCTCTTGCAGCCTGAGATCCCACACGAAAGGAAGCAGAGAATATCAATAGGTCTGTGCGGTGCTAACATGAAATGAAGGATGTGTCCATATTACCCCAAATCGAGATGGCCATATTTCCCCATATTGGCTCGCATTACAAAATTGACAACACTGCCTACAAACCGCAAGTGAAGGAGCTAGCACTTTGCACAAGCATTCTGGAGAGACCATAGAAGAACTTAGAAGTAATGGTTTCTGTATCCATGCTGCTATTAGGAAATATACGCTTATGTTGCTCAAGGCTCATATTAGTTCCACGGTCATGAGTCAAAGAATCGTATGCATATGACTTTCAAGACATCGATATATCCCGAATTCCTGTGGAAACTGGATCGATGAACAGGTCTACACATTTCGACAATTGCATGTACTCTTCGATAGAACCATTTTTTAAATTCGCCCAAACTAATTATTCAGTCTATAAGGGGATTCCTTGTGAAGGGCCATATTACCCCAATGGCCATATTCCCTCAAGTTACCCTACCCGATATCTATCGGTTATTTACCCTATTATAACCGCCCACAACCGGTGCAAGTAATAAGTAATAAATGAGCGAAGCAAAGTAATAAGAGAACATTGGAGGCGTCCGATATTTTTTTCTGCTGAAGGTGAAAATGTGAACTATTACATGAAGTCATAATTTTTTGCATTGCTCACTCACCTTTTGTTTGACAGTGTCTTAATTATAGACAGTGCTGATGGGGTAAAACGGGGTGACGGTGAGGGGGCAAAATGGGGCGTCATACCGGCTCGTATATTCTCCTCTGGCTGGAATATCCATTACAATGGTGAGGCTCAGGCTGACGTGATGGGTTACCGTTCAAATTCTTTCTCTCGCTCAAAACCCAGTGAAGGTTGGGTTACCGGAATTCGGCTCAAGACAACTGTGCAGGCATCGATGACGACACGAATGAGCACGTGTTTTTCTGTGACTTCTGCAAATTTGCATCATTTGCATCTTGCAATTTGGATAAAAATTTGAAGCAGCAACAATAGTTTTGTCATAAAAGTTTCATTGTTGTTTCCGTTCTGTGGCCTTAGTAAATAGGCATTCAATGAAAATATGGGAAAACATGAAAAAAACACGGTCTATTTGTAGGTGTTTCATTGTTATTCTGTTCTTTGACCTTTGTAAGAATGAAGACCTGGGAAAAGAGAGAAAGTATCTGTTTTTAATTTGTGGATGTTTAGTTGCGGTCTCTGTTCAGTGAACTTTGTAAATAGGCATAAAATTAAGACACGGGAAAACATGTAGAAAATCATTAGTTTGATATTTGTAGATATTTCATTGATGTTTCTGTTCTGTGACCTATTTAAGTAGGCATATATTATGAATAAAAACTTTGTAAAACAATATTTGAAAGCCGGGTATTTGGCATCAACTTTTAGAATTGTCAGGGGGAAAAACCGTCGCCAATTTTGCGATGAAGTTGAATCCTGGGCGTAGGTAAGACATGAAAGGTGTCACATACCAATCCGCAACGTGCTACGCCAATTCCTTGGTGCTAAATTTTGGCAATTTTCCTGAACATCCTTGTTTTGTCCCACCTTCCCCTACTGGGTTTTCCAACGAGGAAAAGCCATCCATGATCTTATCATTTTTATCAGTCCTTTTCAATTTCAGAGTAATTGGAGTTGAGGTGAATGTTGCCTTCCCTGCCTGATACGTCAGAGAAACCGTCTGAATTGCGAGCCCTTTACTCTGCTGTCAGAGGAAGAATCATGTACGTCCCATACATAATTTATCCTTTAAACGCGACCTTAAGAAGAGTGGTGATTCAGATTCAAGGGAGGTTATATTGTGGAAGGAACTGCGACAAAGAAGTAAGAGATTTGAGACTAGAGGACGAGGAGTGCTGCGCGTAGAAAGTGACATTCGCTCAGGTAGGATGTTTTACTCCCGCCTAGGTCCCTAAATACCTATCTCGAGCACACGATCCAGCAGAACATTTGCTCAAAACGTCAACTGTAACGCAACAGAGGCTTCCAATGCGAAATATTGGAAGCACGGAGCGTGTGAACAGCGACGCAGATGACTCGTTTGTACTGATAGAAGCGAGGAATTTTCTTTGGATTGTGCTCATTCGGAATCCATTCCGAGCCCTCTTTTCCTTTAAGTGACTGATGAGAGCCAAACGCAGAAGCGAAAAGCACGCCCAGGTGATCCCATTTCTGAAGCAGGTGACCCAATATACCAAGAGAGCTTCGTGGCAAGGCAAGGCTTTTTACGCGAAGCTTTAGCCTGAATATCAAGTTTAAAATAGTAATAAATAATATATATTTATATATATATTTAGGATTTACAGCTGAACTGAAGAAAAGAAATTCGGAGTACAATGGTGTTTCTGGGAGGTTCAGAGAATTAGTGGAAGATTATGTACCTGGAACAGCGATCGTTAGGTCAGGGTTAATCGAAAGACACCGTATTAGAAGCAACGAATTACACAGTATACGAGGTACTCGTTCGTCCTTGTGGAATGTTGTGTTCCTACAATGCATTTTCTCTCGGAATAGAAGATTCCAAGCATCTTCAGAAACATCATTAATCGGCCATCTCAAGATTGTCCATCGACGCGGAACATATCGAATGATATAATTCCGGCATTTTAACCGCTCCTCTTGCGCTGCAAGCACCAATTTTCTCACTGGCACAAAATACCAATCAAGAGATTGGTCTAGTGCTTGTCGTATCCTCCTCCTTATTATCCTGTAGGATTGCCATCATTCGGAGTAAAACT